AAAAAGGCTTTGTTGGCTGATCTTGAAGCTGCTGTGGCCAATACTGAGGCCCACCTAGTGACAAAAACATTAAATTAATCATGTCTATTTGATCTATCTGATCCCATTGAGGTACACATGTGAACAGCAGTAGTGCCTTAAACAATCCCTGCAGGGCTCTCATGCTGAACCTGGCTCATTGAACGAGTTGCCTCCGGCTGTTCCAGCTCAAGAAGCCCTTGATGAGTTTCCTGGCACCGTTGCAGATGCTTTGAAGCGAAAGGACACTACGCAGTTGGAGGTGGATTAGGGATTAAAAATAACAAGCCATCACCATCATAGGGGGAGGTATAAGTTGCCATTCTCTGTTTATTTTGTTCCTATCATATATATATATATATGTATATGGGTATGTTTCAAAATGAGGTGCCCTTTTTGGCCCCCAAAAAAAAACCTGCCAGGGGTAATTTTTTGGGATGGCTTTTGTCCCGCAAAATGTTTGCTTTAAAGAGGAGAAAAGGGCACCTCAATTTGAGACATACCCAATATATATTCAAACAGAAAAACATTGTCTTGCACACTCCATCTTACCATAAAAAGCGGGATGTTGCCATCTTGGACCCATATGGTAATTGTTCGGGCTGGCTGTGTTGCCAGGTGGATCGTGTGAAAGCTCTGCATGAACAGTACCGCGATGACAAGGATGCTGTGTTGACCCCAACAGGTGTCCACTTCATTGGACCAGGGGGGCGAGTGGAAAACGAGGCAGAGCATTGCGCCAGATTGGCACACAATTGCAGGATGAGATTTAATCGAAGCTTCACAGGTCTGGGAATTCAAAACTGATGAAATTTGCTGATCAATCTGGGTGCCCTTTTCCTGACATGTTTGTTCTTTTTCCCAACAAAAGGGTCGCCTCTGAACACTGCACTATTATTATTTTAGTGATTCATGTTTCTTTGGTAGGTTGTATTATATGAAAAAGGGTATCCCAAATTTACCTATTTGTTTTTATGTAGATTTGGTCATAACCCAGTTAATGTCCATTGTGGCGCAGTATGCCCATAGAATCCAGCATGACGCCCACGAGCCCCATTCAGGACCGTCTTGCCCGCCTCAAATATTGGACCTGTACAACTCCAGGAAGGGCAGTTCCTTGGTGTATTTGTGGGCAGGGGTGGGTCATGGCATGTGGCAAACTAGGGCAAGTTCGATCATGTTCAAAGTTGGAAACATCAACAGCATTTCCAGTTTGAAGTTGCACATGCGCAAATTGAAGCATAGTGGCTTCAAGCTGAAGAGCACTATCCATCCCTTTCCTCAATGTAGGTTGCTCTGCTTGAGGTGCCACTGTTAAATTTTCTTTTCATGTTGATTGGGCCCCCACATGGCCCTAGCCACTGTTTAAATCTTTGACCTTTGTTTTTACCAATGTCAGTATGTTTAGATATATGTACATATATATATATATTGTTTCTTGCGGTTCCAATCCCCCAATGTGAAACAATGTGATAGGTGTATCAAATTTCCCGAGCCCCTGGATTTTTTGGATTCATGTCCCCAAGTTAAACGTTGGTTATGAAGCCCATTAATCATAATTATATCAGTGTCGTCAACCAGTACTAGTGTTATTGAAGCTATAAACCAACTTAGCTATTGTGGGGGCGGGCCACATTGTAGTTGGAATATGCCTATGTCGAGATATAAATGTTTGTTATACATCAAAATACAGTAAATCAATTGGAACTTATATTGATAAATGGCTTATTGTACAATGGTTAACTTCTGGTGTCATCAAAGGTGGCAATTGAACACTGGAGGTTCGAGTGGGCACATCATCTATTAATTGAAAGGATTTTTTTCCATCTAGCCATGTTTGATTAAAGGAAGGTATATTTCGATTGTATAAAAAATATATCTTGGGATTTAACCAATAACCACCCAATTGACACTGAAAAAAGGGATTCAACTATCAACACTTGGGACCAAACCAACAAAGATAGTGCGCAGTATAGCGGGACTTGAAAGTTTGGGTGCAATATGTTACCTGTATGTATGCAACTGTTGTGTGATGTCATAGCTGCTGCGATGGGTCACACAATCCATTAATGCCTCTTGGCTCGCCAAGGCCGAGACAAGATTGTTGAAACCCTCTTTGAGGACTATGTGCAAGCCAATGAAGATTGGATGAGGTCGGCATTGTTGGTGCAATTGACCCAGTCATCAACCCAGCGCCGGCGTGGCAAACATGTCATGATGCCCTTCAGAGATGTCCGTAGCAAGTTTGGGGCAGCACTAGCTCAACAGATATTGGCTGACAAAAAGGCCTTACAAAACAACAAAAGCCCTGCAGACCCCAATACGTACTTTATGGCCCATCCAGAAGCCAAGGATGATGAGGAATCCCATCTGAATTTCTTTAGTTTTGGGCTTTGGGTTTCCACATGCTTAATGCTTTTGATACAGTTGTTAAAGATGTGGATGATAATATATATGATTTCCATATCCAACAGGGCTTGTATCCAACCAGGGCTTATACAAAACCTAGGGTGTTGTTATCCTCTTGCTCCCACAGGGGTCAAACAATGAATCTAGGATTGGAGCCTTCTGCGTGTCTGGGATGCCCTGGAATTTGAAGACGAGAATGAAGAGTCAATCTCAACAGCTTTGCATGCTACCGGTGATATCGATGAACAAAATCGAAAGAACTTTTGCAACTTGTTAGCCTAGCAGCATTTATTTTTCATTTTTCGAATACAATATTGCTTCAAACATAAATACTATACATATATACACAAAATACTAGCATTTATGTTTGAAGCTATGAAATGTTGTGGAAACAAAACAAGGCTGTTTCTCACCCAACCGCGGCTATGATGCTACCCAGTATCAGGAAAAATGCGATGCTGCCAGGGATGCAGAAGCTCAAGTCCTTGCCATGGCTGCAGGGGGGTGTCCAAAGTCAGGGTTTGGGGTCTGGTGCAGGGAATGGAGTGGATGCTGGCTTACTTCCTGATCGCAATCAACCTCCGAAGAAGACTAAGCCTCCGAAAACTATCAGTAAACAAATGACGGGGTGCATATCCCAATGCAGTTCAAAGATGACAGAAATTCTTTCGTGGCAAGCCAAGCTGGCTGAGAACAAGACTGGATTGATTCTTGCAAAAAAAAAAACGTTCTTTATTCTTTACCTCAATCCCAAGGGGTGTACTTACCTGCTAATAATTTTGACCACAAGTCTCATCCCCTGAGGATAGCCACTGGTAGTTGGATCCATAAGGATGTGTTTTTGATCCAGCCTATTTGTTGACAATCTTCCACTTCGGGAACCATTATACATCATAATGGTGATCCCAAATTTTCTGCAAAGATTATGTATATTAAAAATCATATCCCTGTCATTTTAGTGAATTAGTGTTTTTACCATAGTGCCATAGGGGATCTGTTGTCACACTGAGGACGACTGAGTTGCTTGAGGGGTTCAAGAAGGAGTTGCAAGGGCGATTGGATACACTTCAAAAGTCCAGATCAGAATTGGAGCAACTCTTCGCCCAACGACTCGACGATGTCCAGATTGAGATGCCAGAACATGGTGACTTCAAACAGAAGGTTTTGGTCGCGATTCGAAACTGTGAATCAGCATTTACTTCCTATGCAGGGAGTGTGCGTTCCATCAAAGCTGTTATCGACACCCTCCTTCAGTAGTATCACGTTTTTTCATGTTATCTATTCCAGGTTGGAGTATTGCTGTTATTGTTGGTAGCAACCTGATCTTAATGGAGAATCTTTGCTAACACCCAACCAAAAAAAAAGTAAAAGATCTTATATGGTGCCAAAGCCGGTTGGTTTCCCAGGAACCGGCGAAAAAGCAGGCCAAGGCCAAGTCGAAACCATCCCCCAATGGTCCTCCTGGTGATGTGCAAAATCATGGTCATCATGATGGGGAGCCTGCGACGTGAGCGGATGTGACCTTGTGGATGGGTAGATTAGGGCGATCCTTAACATACCCGGAGTGCTGTCTTAGCATTTAAAGGACTGACCGATCTATATACATACATAGCTTTATTTAACTATATACTAGATAGATTGAAGTTATCAAATTTCCATTGCAGTAAAATTCTGAGAATTGCTGAGCTGCTGAACCTTAGTGCTGATAAGGGTTGGACCCCGTGCTATGCAGCACCACACTTTTGATATCACATGCTGCCGTGAGAAGCAACATCTTGGGGAGGAAAAAATGTTTCTGGCTTGCATGTGGTAGGGGTTTGGGGTTTGGTGCCAGGCCTTAGCCATGGACAGGTTTGTTTCCAACCATGATGTGAAATTTGAGACTATCTTGGTCATGAAACACAATGAAAAGACATGAAAGATGCATGATACCCCAGGATATCCAATCCAAGCGAACTACCCTGTTCAGATAGCTGAACGTTTTTCCCATGCGCAGGTGCTGTGCTGAAAAAGACAAAGACAACATCACCACTGTACTCATTCCTGCTGAAAGAAGCTGGTTTGGGTGATTCTTGGCTAATTTTTTGCATGTTCCTGTACATGTCAGTTCAAGAAGGAACACCCATTCAGAAACATACACCCATATATATATATATATGTATACACAGATAGGTAGATAGATAGATAGATAGATAGATAGATATAATATCCAACATGTTCCTGTATATCTCTTTCAATTTTTGTGGCCATGTTAACATTTCGAATAAGGAAAGCTCGTTTAGAAAGACGCAAACTTTGATGCACTATGTCAACAAGGACTTGTAGAACCAAGGGCGTTGTGAGGGGACCCGGCAATGTTGAGTAGGTTTTCCCAGTTAAGATTCTATCTCATATTGGGGAAACATTTGTATAATTAATAGATATATTAATATTAAACATATAAAAATACAGATTTCAGGTGTTTATCCGGGGCAGTCTTGAGCAATCCAGTCAACTTTGTGTTTAGTGGTTCAACCTGGCTACCCAAAGCATGTGTGAAACCCCCTTGGTCATGCTTCCAGCAGGAGTTCGAGATGCATGGTGTGTCACTACAGGGGCCATGCCGATCTTTAGCAACAGCTGGGTGTGATGGAAAATTCTCATCGAATGTCCAGCGTGACATCTTGAGGCGGGTTTCGAAACATGACCCTGACGAGGCTTGGCAGAACAGCTGCTGAATCAGCCTTGGTGTCAAGTGAAACCGGATTTTAGGTCTGTGAGCACCATGTGATATGTACTTAAATAATAAAATAACATCTTCAATCTGGCATATCTGTTCTATATATATATACACATATGCCCGAAACCCATTGAGCAAGGTAGGACCCCCAGTGAGTAAGTCCATGTACCTTCATCTGGTTGTAGTACTAGCATATACACCAATCTACTTAACCACTTGCCCAGTTTTCCCTCTTTGAAAAGCGTGCCTCTGCAACAGGTGCCAATCGATTGGGTTGAAGCTCCTGTCCAGAAACAGCGTGGTCCCAATGGTGTCGAGATGAGGACTGTTCAGCCATGTTTTGGATCACTCATGAGCGTGGACGATCAAAAGTCCCCAGACCCTGCTCCATGTTGTGTAACTCTGCCTAAAAGCAGCAGTGCCATATCATTCATATATATATATATATATCTCTCTCTCTCTCTCTCATATACCCAGGAAAATCCCACTTGTTCTTCCACATGATTTGGTCATGAAGATGCCCCTCATCAGCGACTCTGAGATCAAAGAGTACTGGGATCACCTATCTGCCTGCAACAGCCCTCTAGCAAAGGTCAGTGAAACAAAGACCCATTACCCCCTCTGGATCTGGGGTGATGAGGCCCAGTACCGGGAATCGGGAGATGAGGTGTTACTGATCAGCTTGGGTGCGGTTCTGGACCAGCGAAAATATAGTGTTGAAGCATGCTTTCCCATCTGCGTTGTGCGGACAGAAGCTAGCCTTGGTCAGGCCTACGATGTCAAGTTTTCTTTGGGATGAAATCTAACCTGATATGGTGTTCGTGCTTGTGGCTTTCCCCCAAACTGAACATGTAGAATAGCTGATCAAAAAGTCTTTCCCAAGTTCAATAGAACTAACTATTGTTTTTCACTGTTTGCTGAAGCCCTGGTCAGACTAGGAACTGAAGGTGGGTTTCTCAACAGTTTTTGCCATCTTGGAGGCTGTGACTTGCAAGATTCTTTGAGTCACCAGTTTTGAATCTTGAAAGATGTGTTGGGTACAGTTCGCTCACTTTTCCCCAAAAAAATCAAGACACCCAGAAGCTTAGCGCCTGTTGTCCCCCTCAGGTAGTCCAGTCCTTGCAGATGTTGTACAGGGACGGTGTGGAGATGCCTGACGGGAAGAGGAGACACTTTGCAGTCTGTGAAATCCGTGGAGACTGGAAGTGGCAAGCTGACGCTGGTCAATGCTTTTAGATATTAAATGAAACAGATTGCCAAACCCCTCAATACAATCAGTCTGCATACTTGCGTATGGGTAGTGATTGGTTCCACCTCAGGAATGGCTCCAACTCTCTTCTTATTATTTGTCCAACCAAATATGTCATGCTTGCCGAGCCAGAGTACCATCCTACGTTACTGCACCCTCGCAATTGGCTGCCCAATTCCGACACACCACTGAATCTTTTCTGGTTGAATCCTGCAAGGGAGGTGATCACACCAGACTCTTGGTTTCTACATGTTGTATTCTTTCCAATCGATTTTTTCTGAAGTGGTTAAATCATCTCGTATTTTGAAATCCAAGGGGAAACCATTTTATGTGGCAGCCCAGGTCCACTGGTGAATTTGCCATGCTTCAAAATTGAGATGATTCGTTGGGACGGAATGCATACAATCAATCTTGGCATTGACTTGTGGATTGCTGGGTCTGTCATGAGGAAGCTCTTGCAATATGATGTGTGGGGAGGACTGGACATGGATGAAGGGGACCGCCTTCTCCTTGCATACGACTGTTTCAAGGGCTTTTGCAGGACCCACAAAATACAGTAGCTTGTCCAGAATGTCAATGATGTCCTTAATTTACCCTAAATAGTGCCCATGCAAGCGGTGATTTTGGTGATTTCCTTCAAAAAAAGTATAAACACATATGTTCTCCTCTTTGAAGGATCTGCTCTCATATTGAGGCATAGTATGCCTCGATTTCGTCCCTGGCGTCTGAAGAGCAAGCAGCATCCATATCCGGAATTACAGAGCAAGGCTTGGAATGTGACTTGGATCAAAATTACCATGTGACCCCAAGCCATGTCGCATATTCAAGAAGGGGATCATCATGCCTAAAATTGTATAGTATAGTACCATCAGGTTATCACTTTTCTGCAGGCCCAAGAACACCATGAGAAAACACCTTTCCCATCCCAGGGCCTGTCATCTCTGCTGGGCTGAGGCCAGGTGCGTTGTTGCATGGCTCTGTGATGAAGTGGTGGGTTTGGCGAATGGTGCATACAGGGATGACTGGATTCCCCTTCTTGCTTCTTGCACGTGGCTTGTTCTATGTTTTGGAGTGGAAGTTTGTTATTAATATTTTATATGATTATTAGGTAGCCAAGTTCTGGTTAATCAGGGTTTGATCACCACCCTATCCATCCGAACATATGTTTCCCATGTCGTGCACAACCTGCTCGATTCCAGAAAATGGGCCTGCCCAAAAACCATGCTCATTCAGCGCACCCATTATAATGAAGAATCACCAGTGATCCAATAATGTTTGTTTATCAACAAAACTGAGGTGGCATATAGCAGAGTGGCATCGCAATGTGGAGATGATGCCCCGGTACCTATCGAATGACCAAGCAATGTTCCTTCAAGATCTCTGCGATGGGTGCGTAAGTTTCTACTTGAAACTTGCAAGTATGGCGATCGAAAGTGGGGAGTTGTTGTTCCCTGTGCGGCCAAAAATTCATGCAACTCAACAGGACATGTTTGATGATTTTTAGTGATCTTTTCCCTGGAGGTAAGATGAATTCGTTCAAAAAAAGAAGGGTTGAAACAAATTGTGCTATGTATGTTTGTTGTTTGATCAAGCTTGTTAGGCATATCAGGAGCTGGCTTACATCCAAACCATGGACCGTGTCTGTGCCAAATCTATGCATTTTTTTGTGCGTTCATCCCTTGAATTGTGCAAGCTGGGGCAATTGGGTAAAGCCCACCCTAAACATAAACAATGTTTCTTCTTGTGGCTGATTTTGCAACAACCAGGTCTCAACCACAGATTTTTCGCGGGTTACAAGCCTGAAGATTTTATCGGAAAAATTGCAATTGTTGCATCAGCTGGCAACAATGAGAACTGCGAATATATTGCGCTGAAAAGGTTTTATCTGGGGTCTCCAGCTTTGGGTTTAGCATTTTTTGGTGTTTTATTCTCTATTTCTCACCTGCCAGGTGAGGGTTGTTAGATTTTATCAGAGCTGTTCTCCTCATCCTCCTCCTCCGCCTCGTCCTCCTCCTCCTCCTTCCTCCTCCGCCTCGTCCTCCTCCTCCTCCTCCTCCTTCCGCCTCCACCTCCTCCTCCGCGTCCTCCTCCTCTTCTACCACCTCTGCCTCCACTTCCGCTCTTCGCCAACTTCGGAGCTCAGTGCGCACTGCTGGACCTCAACCTGGGACCTTCCCAGCTCAGTGCGCACCACTGGACCTCAACCTGAAACCTGCCTAGCTCAGTGCGCACCGCTGGACCTCAACCTGGGGCCTTCCGAGCTCAGTGCGCACCGCTGGACCTCAAAGGCCAGATAGAATGCCAGAAGATATGCCAGATAGAATGTCAGATAGAATGCGAGAAGATATGCCAGATAAAATGCCATAAGATATGCCAGATAGAGTGCCAGGAGATATGCCAGATAGAATGTTAGAAGATATGCCAGATAGAATGCCAGAAGGTATGCCAGATAGAATGCCAGATAAAATGTCAGATAGAATGCCAGAAGATATTCCAGATAAAGTGCCAGAATGTTTGCCAGATAGAATGCCAGAAGATTTGAGTAGATAATATGCCAGAAGATATGCCAGATAGAATGCCAGAAGATATGCCAGATAGAATGCCAGATAGAATGCCAGAAGATATGTCAGATAGAATGCCAGAAGATTTGCCAGTAACACAATGTATAAATGTCATGGTGGGGATCACACGAAGTAAAGTTTTTTTTAGTGAACAATGTTGTCTTTCTCCATATATAGCCACAACTGCTGAAGGCAAAAGTGCCATGCAGAACTTGGTGAGATCTCTGACCAGGAAAGTGATTGAGCCGTGTGCTTTTGGAAATTCGAAATTCATACCCACAGATCAGGCTATAGATTCTCCCATCTTAGTTCCACTTTGAAACCAGATAATTGATTACAAAACAACGCATGTCTGATGTGTGTGCTCTTGGAGCAGCTGCAATTATCTGCAACTTTCACACGTATGGTTCAAAAAGTCATGTGTGCCAGCTGCTGTATTCCCCATTTGGTCTGGGTGAGGCATGGGAAGCGGCGAGGATCTGTGCAGAGTGCATGGGTGGCTTCAGTTCAAGGTTCCCATAAATGCCACTTTTCCCTGAGCATGGTTTTTGGGCAGGCCCATTTTTTGGAATCAATCAGCATGTGCGCGACATGGGAAACATATGTTCAGCATATGTCTGGGAGCCCCTGGGGAAGAAAATTGATGTGCAAAGATTGCAAAGGGCTACGTAGTGGTGGATTGTAATGTGAAAACCCCCCGGATTTTGCTAAACCATGGTTTATTAATTAGGGGGTACTCCCCCAATAGTCATGATTTGATACTTAAATGGTACCTTCCCAATTAAACAGCCTAGGGGTTAATTAATCCAGGGTTTACATTAATGGTATCACGGTATCACTTCAAAGTTTCTTTGCCTTGAAAGATTATGAGATTGCTAATTATCTCCGAAATACCACGGTGCTTTGGCTCACACGTGATGTTGACTTTGGCAAAGGGAAGTGACCATGCCGAGCAACCAGGCTCTTTCAGCCCGCAGACACTGAAACCTGACCTTTTCATACCTTTTCAAGTAACAATCTGGGCAAATTATAGTAATTCACTAACCTGAAATTATAATTTACCCAGAACAATGGATCCAAACCAGCCTTAAATTCGCAGCAACAATATGCTGAGCCAACTTTGGGGTCAACATGGGTCAACCCCAGGCGCAGCCCGGAGCCCCCAAAACCCCCCCTTCCCCAGCCCCGCGCACGGTTGCCGATCCACCTTGGCCTGAGCAACTTTGGATGGTCGTGAAGCCAGTTGGCCCAGCAAGGGGATCATGAAGGGAAGATCAAGGGATACCCATAGGATCCATGTATGGTATATATGCTAACATTGGGGGTATATTGATGGGATGCATGTTACCATATATATAGCATACATGGATCCTATGGGATATGAAGGGGGTATCTCATATCTACATATATAATCATATAATATATATATATATAAACACCATGCTATTCACTTCGGTAAACCATCTATTTCTATGCGCCATGGCTTCCAGGGCGAACTGTTAGTCTTTTCGCCGGATCGGTGGTTGAAACTTAAGTTGTTGATATGTTCAGAACAGGAATCATGCCAGGTCATGTTCAGACAACTTACATGCGGATTAACATTCACCTTCTTTCAATCGATTTCATCCTTCTCTCACAAATGAATCTGCAAACCAAATTTGACACAAAATAGTCGGGTGCTTCCATGCCCATTGCACCAGCCGCCGTTTTCTTACAAACATCACTAGCTGTGCGCGCCATTGCGGCACGCGCAATGGCGCGAGAAAATGCGTGCAGCGTAGGTGAACTCGCAGGAGTCAACGCATCCCGTCTTGCAACTCAACCCACGATGCACGCGGCACTTCTTAGCATGTTGGTCTATGTTGGTGACCCAAACTGCATCATCTACATGCATCTACATGCATGAAGGTGCCTTACGCGCAGCAAGTTCAATCTTATATTGTTGCCAATGAGAATGTTGATGGAGGGTGCAATCAGCATGAAAATGACAACGCGCGCTTTGTCCGCTTGCTGTGCGGTTCTAAGGTGTCAAACAAACTTGAATATTGCGTTGTCTTGTGCGTCTGTCTGCAGAACTTGCGTGTGTTACTTGCAAATGAAAACCGCCAGGCTCTTGTTGACCTGGGCACCGTTGCCGAAGTGCATCCACAGCGCTGGAAACGTCTTTACATCGCTGCGAACGCAATTCAGCCTAAAGACTACCCAAGTCCACCCGGTATGGAAAACGAGTGACCCGGCGTCAAATGAACCATCATGATGTTCATTCAGACAATCCCCATCCAAAAACACGGATCAGAAGCTATACACATAGCAAAGTGATAGCCTGCAGTGGGGTGTGACCGCCAATCCATGAATCAAAAAAATCTACACGCTCATGTGACCTATCTGATGTAGCAAACTAGAGTACAGCGCGCATTGCTTTGATCCAGCCTTTCCGAGATGAAGATGTTCGGTGATGTTTGGGGATGAAAGTCTCATGATTGTTCTTGCTGCGGCACCTGGACGTACAAAGGATGACTTGAACTGCGTATCGGGCTTTCAGATCTTTCAGATGTAATCACAAAAAAATATGGAAGATTGACACAATTGATGAATATTCTGGAAAGGAAAAAACAACAAAAGATAACAAAAGTTGGCACTTGTGTTGCACAAAGCATGCACAATCCGCATGCACTTTTGCCACCCGGATCCAAAAGGGCCATGGGATCCACGATCCGAAAAAAACCGCTCCCCAACAAACCGCCGCCTTCCGACTGACTGGCGGCATCTCTGAATTGCAATCCTCTGGATCGGACCTCCTGGGTGAAGCTTCGGCAAGAAGCCGCCATTTTCCCATAGCTGATACGATTACTGGTTGGTGGTTGACTTATACCCCTCTGAAAAATATATAAAAATATGACTTAGTCAGTTGGGATGATGACATTCCCAAGATATGGAGAAATAACAAAATCATGTTCCAAACCACCAACCAGCTATGATAGAATACATGATACATGATAGAATAAGGGATAATAGCTGGATCATGTCTTATCATAGCATTATCATGTATTATCATGGGACAGGGATTATCATAGAATTGTATCAGCTATTATCATGATAATACTATGATAATGATAATTCTATGATAATTCTATTATAATACTGAAGTCCATAAGGGATCAGGGCTGAAGTCCCTGAGATTCCATGAGTTCTGTCCGTATTGTCCGTTTTACGCACCAAAATTAAAGATTCTTTGTAAACAGTCCAGTCAGAGGTTCAATTCCCACGGGCAGAAAACAAGCATATGCAGCATCAGTTCATGTCGATTCTATGGCTTGTGACTTTGCCGGTCTTGCCAGCCTCTCCAATAGTGGTGAGACTCCGCTTACGCGGACGACAGTCATCCAATCGATGCGGAAAAACCTGAGGAATCGGGACAAACTTGTTGCAGAATGATGCAGAATGTCTACGGGTGGAATCTGCGTGTGAGGTAAGAAGAACGCAGCCTCTTCCTCCAACCATGCTCTCATAGCTGCGAAGCGTTTGACGGCTACAAGTATGTTCG